AGTCCCAAATTATCCCTCTACCTCTAACAGAACTAAAAATTCCTTCTGAATATATTCACATACATCAAATAATCAGTTTTTTTTTTTTTTCTTGGAAACGTCCCTCCTTCCCCACACAGGACTGCTCTCTGGTTACTGCTCAGTGCACTTCATCACCATCCTTTGGTGTATCTTTGTACCCCATATCTTTTTTTTTTTTTTTTTTGCCGTAGGGTGTGTGTGCTCCCCAGAGAGGCAGTGAGAAGGAAAGTAAGAAATCACTTTCCAGTGGAGATGGCCACACCACAATCCCTTCTCCTTCTGACATCCTGGGCACGCACATGTGTCCAGTTTGAGTTTTAAGCCACTTGGTCTGGGACTCAAACTGTGGTCAGTCACCTTTTAAAAATTTTATTTTTCATTTACTATGGGGTACTTATGCCCACCAGAGACAGAGAGAGGTAAAGTGAGAAAAACACCAGGTCTGGGACTGGAACTGGCAGGTTGGCCACATGGGAGTCCATCACCTAACCACCATGCGCCTGCCAGCCCCACCCATGTCTTTCTTCCTTTGATTCACCATCTTTTTTTTTCCTCTCCAAGTTTAGGTTTGAAAATGTATTCTTTTTGTTTTGTTTTGTTTTAGTTTGCTGTAGGGTGATGGTATGTAAGAGACCTTCACTTCTCATTTTCCATTCTCTTTGGTAATCTGGTAAACAGAGACAAACCAGAACCTGCCTTTGTTGTGGAAAGATGGCTTACGGGGACCAGCAGTTACCGGGGACCAGCAGTTACCGTAATGGCTATGTCACCGGACTCCCATGTACTCAACCATGGTTAGAGACCCAGACCCAGTGGCTTAAACTCACGCCGGGCACATGTGCGTGCGTGCCCAAGATCCCGAGAGGAGAATGGAAGAGAAGGGACTGCGGCGTGGCCAACCCCCCTGGGGGGTGATTTCTCACCTTCTCTCTGTCTCTTTCTGGCGAGCACACGCACCCTATAGCAAAAATCTCTTAAAAAAAAAAAAAGCTCAAGATGGTTCTCAGTGGAAAAAATACACAAAAGTGCAGTCCGATCGAGAGTCAAAGACAGAGAAAAAATGCTCACAACCCCTGGAGCCAGGATTGAGGAGCAGTGGCCAGAACCGAAAGTGGGAGCGAGGCAGCAACCACTACCCCGAACAGCAAGCCTCCAAGGGGTAACGAAGGGCACAATCACACCTGGAGGAAATTCAAAGGGCCGCTGCCTCTGGGGAGCATGCTGGCTGACTAGGAGGTTGTATGAGAGAACTTTCTGGAGTGATGGGATCTCGAAAGGAGGGAGGTCCCATGGGTGCCAGCATTTGTCACTTAAGATGCATCTTTCTCTATGTAAATCTTTTTTTTCTTAAGAGATTTTTTTGATATAGAGCACATGCACTTGCCAGAGAGACAGAAAGCAAGAAATCATTCCCCAGGGGGAATGGCCACAAAGCAATCCTTTTCCTCTATTCTCCTCTCAGGATTCTGGGCACATACACGTGCCTGGTTTGAGTTTTTAAGCTGCTAGGTCTGGGACTTGAACCATGGTTAAGTATGTGGGAGTCCAGCAATGTAACCATTTCACCATCTGCTGGTCCCTCTCTATGTACCTCTAGTCAGCGGTGAGAAAGGGTTTAGCGGCGTGTACTGGTCTGCAATGTACTTTGTACTGCATCAGAAATAGGACAGACGGAGGACAATTATTTCAATTTCTCTGAAAAGTCGTAATAAAATATTGGGCATGGGCATCTTTGCTATTGTGGCAAATGTACTTTTTTGTGTGTGGCTGTGTGCATGTGTGTGGTATTTTAGACAGGGTCTTGCTGTGTTACAATTCTGCCTCAGACTCCCAAGTAGCTGGGACTACAGGCATGCACAAAGTCTGGTTTAGGGAGGGCCAGGAATCAAACCTGGGCCTCCCCCAGGGCCTCGGCCTGCTAAGCAGCAGTGTCCCGTGTGCAGAAGTGACTGGGTCACAAATGTACTTTTGGAACCTCCTCAACCAGTTAGTTACCAACCTTGACAGGAGCCATTTTCCTCTACACTTGCTACTGTCAAGTAGAGAAAACTGGGATTTCTCCATGTGTAATAACATAGACTTCAAAAAAATCTTCATTTTTACATTAAATTATTTTTATAATTTGCTATAGGGCATGTGTGCTCACCACAGAAAGTGAGAAAGCACCCCCCAGGGGGGATGACCACATTGCAATCCCCTCTCCTCCATTCTTAGTTTGGGATTCTGGACACGTACACCCACGTGCCTGGAGTTCTTTTTCCTAAGCCACTGTGTCCAGGACCTAAACCATAGTCGATCACGTGGACTCTAGCCAACCGACCACCATGCCACTGGCTAGTCCCTCCACTTTTACATTTTAAGATGAATCCAGGGAGTTCTACTTGCAGCATTAGAAACTCAAATGCGGGACCAACAGATGGTGCAATTGTTACATCACTGGACTCCCATATAGTTGACGACAGTTTGAGTCCCGGACTGGTGGCTTAAAACATGATGGGCATGTGTGTGGGTGTGCCCAAAATCCTGAAAGGAGATGGGAGAAGGGATTGTGGCATGGCCATTACCCCTGGAGGGGTGAGTTCTCACTTTCTGTCTCTCTGGCAAGTGCACATACCCTACAGCAAAAATCTCTCTAAAGGGACTAGCCTGGTAGCATGGTGGTTAAGGCGCTGGACACTCCCACATGGCCGTCCACAGTTTGAACCCCGGACCTGGTGGCTTGCTTTCTCACTTTCCCTCTCCTCTCTCTTTCTCTGGTGAAATGAAAATAAATGAACAAATAAAATTAAATCTTAAAAAAAATCTAAAACCAAACCAAATCTCAAATGCATGTTCAGCGGGCTTCTGATATATAATCCCAGTACTAAGGGGACAGGGAGGCAGGACATCTTTATTTTCATGAGTCACTGGGTTTTCCTTCAAAGATGGACTGAGCCTAAATTTTCTCCAAGACCTTGATGGAATAGTTTTAGATTAGGGAACCTTAGGGCCAGCAGGTGGCGTGGTTGTTAAAGGCACTGGACTCCCACATGGTTGAATGTGGTTTGAGTCCCAACCTGGTGGCTTGCTTTCTCAACCCGTTTCCCTTCTCTCTCTCTCACTCTGTCCCTCTCTGGTCAAGTTAAAAACCCTCCCCCTGTCCCTCTCTGGTCAAGTTAAAAAAAAAAAAATGGATAAAGAAAGTTAAAAAAATTTTTAAAAAAAAAAAAAAAAGAATAGGGAACTTTAAGGCAAACAAGAGGGAGTGGTAGGACTAGGGGAAGGGAGCTGTATCCCACATGACTGACCATGGTTTGAATCCCAGCCCTGGGGGCTTGAAAACTCACCGGGTGCATATGCATGTGTGCCCCAAATCCCAACAGGATGGAAAATGGAGAAGGGATTGCAGCACGACCATGCCCCATTGCGGGGGAGGTGCCTTCTCCCTCTCCTGCTCTATCTGAGGAGCACATGTGCCCTCTGGCAATTGTTAAAAGGACAAGCATGGATATATTATGGAGTATTAAATTTCTTTTTAAAAAAGAATTACTTATTGAACTTTATTTTATTTATTTATTTAAATTTGACCAGAGAGGGACAGAGAGAGGTGGGGGAGGGGTGGGGAGTGAGAAAGCAAGCTGCTGGGTCCAGGACCCAAACTACAGTTGGCCACGTGGGAGTCCAGCACACCCTTAACCACCAAGCCACCTGCCAACCTCTGGAGTATTACACTTCATTTATCTTCTTTTTAAGAGACAGATTTTTGCTATAGGGCATCTGTGCTTGCCAGAGAGACAGAAAGTGAGAAGTCACTCCCTAGGGGTATGGCCATGCCACAATCCCTTCTCCACTATTCACCTCTCATGATTTGAGAATTTGGGCATGTACATATATTCACCCAGCAATTTAAGTTGCCAGGTCCAGGATTTGAACTGTGGTCAACTATGGGAGAGTCTGGCAACATAACCATTATGCCATCTGCTAGTTCCTAAATTTCTATTATCTTTCAATGACATATTGAAGATTTTGAAGAAATGTTGCTGAATCCTTAACCTATACTCCTAACCTCCCAAGGGTATATGCTTTTCTCCTAATGCTGTTAAAGAAACTTTACTAGAAAGTTGAGAAAAGTATTTCTGCTGAATTGAAAGCTCCTGGCTCTGCCACACATGGGGGCTGGTCTCTTTTGTATAAAAAGTTTATTTCTTTTGAGAGATAGATCCAACAGGGCTTGCATGCTATGATCTACCCCCAGCCTCAGCCAGCCAAGATTACAGGCACAAATGTACAGGGAGAGTTCAGGATATGAACCTGAGATCTTCCTGTACGGCCTTGGCACAGCGAGTCTTGTTACTACTACACACCATTGCTGGCTTCTAAGATGGTGTTAATACCATCTACAGAGGGTTCTGTAGGGCAATATGAGCTACTTACTCTGTGAGACACCAAGTGCATTCTGGGTACTCAAAATATAGCATTCTCTTCCTTTCCCCAGTGCAGTGTGGTTGAGAAAAATCTTACCAAGGGACCAGCAGGTGGTATGGTGGTTAAGGCACTGGACACTCCCACATAGCTGACCACGGTTCGAGTCCTGGACCTGGTGGCTTGCTTTCTCACTTTTCCTCTCTCTTTCTGTGTGTGTGTGTGTGTGTGTCTGGTCAAATTAAAATAAATGAATGAATGAATAAAATTAAAAAAAAAAAAAGAAAAAAATCTTTCTAAACATTGGTCGGAGGGGGAAATGATGAAAGGGCTATCTAGAGACAAGAGTTCCAGGAGTCACATAAACCAAGGTGTGTTCAGTAAGTGTGAACACAGGTACAATAAGGAGCAGGAGTCTCTGGCTGTGAATACGATCCACCATCAGGGGCCGGAAGGCATGGGCTAGCCCCAAAGTCTAGTAGTTAAAAGGAGGTAACTGGGCTTAGTTTTCAGACCATGTGATCACACAGGAAGAGAGAAGCCTTTCCAACCTAGTGTTTAAAGACACAACAGTAGGGTAAGCGGTTGAGATATTTTTAGTTAAAGAAAAACAGCCTTTTCCAAGGGCGACAAAGTGAAACGAAGGTCAGAAGGAGCTGGGTGTGGGCTTCTCACTCTTCAAACACTTGCTCCGAAACACAGAAGTGAGGAAAGAGGCTCTCCCAGGGACTCTGGGAGCGACTGGTGCGTCAGAGGGGCTTCTCTGGTGGGGGGGGTGGGGCTGCCTACCCCTGGTCACTGGACTGGTTTGACTGGGCTCCAAGTGCTAGTCAGTTGACATGATTCTTGGGGGGCATTAAATTAAGAAATGACACAGGGAGCCAAGGGCGGCTTATTCGGTTGGATTCTGAATGACAATCAGGAAATAGTCTTTATCTGCAAAAGAGAAACATGAAAAATCAAATCACTAAATGTAAGACAGGAGAGAAGCATAATAAAAAGCAGTAAGTCATCACATCGTTAACCATAATCGGTTGGGGGGGAAGCGATACCAAGTGTCAGCACCCGGGCTGCTCTTACTTGCCGGGAGAACAGAAGACAAACCCACAACTTTCTTGGGGAGGCTCTTGGAAGGGTGGCTTCTGGGAAGGGGGGGTCTCCCCATCTCCCAGGCAGCAGGCGCTCTGCAGCACCATCTACTCCCCACATGGCGGCACCGGCATCTGGGAGGTGAGATTCTCACCTTGTTCTCTGGGTAGGGATCCTCGGGTCCCAAGTTTCAGTGGACTCCATCCCCAGTTGCTGATCCAGCACTAGGGTTTGCACTAGGGCCTAGGAATTGCAATTCTGACAAGTTCCAGGTGATCCAGATACTGCAGGTTCTGGGAGAACCATTGGCTTGGGGCTACGCAGCTAATTAGTGTCAAAGCTCAAATTCCAACCTCAACCTCAAAGATCTTGTCAATTTCTCCCTTAAACTCAGTTGCTGACTTCTCAGGATCTGAACCAGAACATTTCAAAGGCACAGGGCAAATGGGAACAAAGCTGCCTGGATCCCACCTCCAGGAATCAGCCTAGCATGGACAGCTGTCCACAGGAAATTGAGGGAGGTGCAGGCCCTCAGAGGTAAGCCTTACCATCCCTTATTTTATGGAAGAAACTAGAGAAGCAAAGTGCTTTAACTCTGCCCCTTAATAACCAACCTGCAAACCTTTACCAAGTTTCTATGTGCCCAGGCCTGGACCAACTATTGCTACTTCTCACAGGGCAGCTCAATCTTTGAAACACTCTATGAGGCAGATACTAGTGTTTTCCCATTTTACTAATGAGAACGCTGCAGCTCAGACTTAAATGACTTGCCCAAGCCAAAGAAAGTATGCGGGTGGGGTGGGCGGACAGCTAGCTGGGTTTGATCCCAAGCTCCGAAGGCCTCTGGTCTACTGCCCCCTGCTGAGCATGGGAGAAATGGCAGGCCCTCGGCCACATCTGTGTTGCTACAAGTGGGAATAAAGAAATTAAATGAGTAACATTTCCTCAGCTGTGCAATCTGCATAAATATAAAATCACTTACTGATGAAAAAAGAATGAACAAGCCATGGATAAAAATAGACACATTCAACAATACCAGATTCTTTGATTCCAAATTATCAAACTAGGCCTGTAATACCACTTCAGTGCTTTAAGGTTGTTTATGCTGGATTAATTCGACTTTACATCAGTGAGGACAGTAAGTCTTACACTGTCTGGTCAGGTAGGCTGTTCTGGGACAGGATGGGTTAAATTTGGTACAGATGTGGCAAGCCAAACTCTGAAACCACCTGCTGCTATTGTGGCCTCAGAAGTAGCTTCTTGGTCTGAATGAGTCAGATTAGGTGGATCGTGGCTCTCTTTCCTAGCCAGGCTGCTGCAGGCTGGAAAAAATATGCAGGGTGCTGGCGCTAGTGCCACAGTACCTCAAACGTACGCAGCAGTGAGGGCTGCTCTATGCCAGGGATGGCCCCAGGGACCTGCGCTCTGTGAGAACCTTTCCCCCGCTCTATTCATGATAGTGTGTATGTACATGTACATGTGGACAGGGGAGGGGGGAGAGAGAGAGAGAAAGCACCCCATGACGGGGCCTGGTCACACAGCATCTGTGGCGATCTTAAGGTATTCCAGTCCTTATACCTCTGAGGTTGCTGCCCGTGAAAGCTCTGACACCATGTATCTCAGAGCAAGACACACCAGTATCTAACCCTGGCCACATCAAAAGTGGGTGTCTCCAAGTGTCAAACTATATGCTTCCCCCTAAGCGCTATGCCCCAGACATCCCTGACCCCATCCCACTGCTGACTCCACAGCCATGGGCATCAGCATCAGAAGGAGGTTTAGGAAGTCATTAATTTATTCATCAAATATTTGTTATGCTTACTAAATGACAAGTCCTTGCCCTCACAGCATTTTATGTCTACAGAGGGAATAGACTAAAAAATGCAGATAAAAATCTGGGGACCTGGGAACAGCAGTTGGCGTAATGGCTATGTTGCTAGACTCCCATGTAGCCAACCGCAGTTGGAGTCCCGGACCTGGTGGCTTAAACTCACACTGGGCACATGTGCATGCCCAAGATTCCGAAAGGAGAATGGAGGAGAAGGGATTGTTGTGTGGCCATCCCCACCTGGGGGGTGATTTTTCGCTTTCTGTCTCTCTGTCTCTGTCTTTCTGGTGAGCAGACATACCCTATAGCAAAAACCTCTCAAAAATAAATAAATAAATAAATATTAAAAATTAAAAAAAAAAAAAATCTGGGCAGCCAAGTGACAAGGAGGGACTGTGTGCAGGCAGCAGGATGGCGTGTGCAAGGGCCCCAGAAAAGGAGCCTGAGTCTGAGGGAGCAGCATGGTTGGGGCAGAGCAGTGCTCTGAAGGGGCACTTGTGTTTAAGGCAACCTCAGTGTGTCACACACCCTCCAGCATAACAAGGTATGTGGGAGAGAGAGAGAGAGAGAGAGACAGAGACAGAGAGACAACGCCAGAGCTCTTTGGACCTGTGAACCCCAAAGATCTCTAACTTAGGAGCTGCCCACCTTGACCTACCCAATCAAGGCTCTGAATGCTGGGGTACTCAAGGCCAAGCTGGCGATGTCTTTGCTGCTGAGCTGAGATGTGCAGGGCCAGGGATTGCAGCTGGCTCTGTCCTTCCAGAGATGTTTCCAGAAGCGTGATGCCCAGAGACATCATCCTTGAAGAGCCTGTCTGATGTGGATACCACCTAACACGCTCTTGCCTCACTCGAGTTGCCACTAAGGAGCACAAGGTCTACTCTGGGGTGAGAACAGGGTTACTCCCAGTTCCACTTTCAGGCAAGTGGAGACCTGTCCTCTGCAGTCACACAGTACAAAGTCTTAAGAGGGATTTCAATTCAAATCTGATTCTGTCTTCTGTGCAGCTTGAGCAACGCACTCAACCAGATCGGGCATCTCGGGGGACCAGAGGAGCAAGGTCACTGCTGACATGTTCAGGTGTAAACATGGGGGGTTGTGACTAGCCTAAGGTCATGTTCAGAAGAGTAAAGCTGGGCAAACAGATTCTGTGCCTCTCACAGTCTTTTTCCCTGACAGAATCAGGCATTAGTTGCTGGATGATGCACTAAACAGAATGGCATCCTTTAGGAATGAGTTACTCTGAGAGTTTTATGTTCTTTGAGAAGGACTTGCTCTATCCCCAGCCCTCTAGGAGTAACCCAGGGATACTGTTGCCCCTGTGTCTGGCTCTAGGGCTCTCTTCACCCCATTCTTTCAGACCTCCAGAAAGGTGGAGCAGGTCTGGGAGCAGAATGAGCGTCGGTCTGTTGCCGGGAGTGGTTGCCTCTCCTACTCCAGAATCCTGCAGCCAGCCGCCTTGCCATCTGTGCTGCTAAGCACCAGCAGTCTTCAGCCTCCCCATGCCCTCCTTCGTCCAGGCCTAATGACAACTGCATGTCCTCCTGCCCTAAAAATCTCTGCCGCCATATTCAAGACAAGTCCTGCAGTGGTTGGGTGTGTGAAGCCTCTTCTAAACTGGACCGAAGTCCCACCTTCCACTCCTTCCTGCACCTTTCCAATGCCCTGGCCGAGCTGGGTGCAACCTTAACTGCATCACTGCACACACACAGAACTCACACACATGCAACTCTGTGGCTCAGTCACAGGGAGAGCCGTGAGAAAGAACGCAGGAAGACACATTCCTGGAGGGTCTCTCCGCCACTCTAGGCTGTGAGTGTGAGTGAGGGGAGGCGGGAAAGAGGGCCCTGCTGTTCCTTCCTGTGATCCCAGCCGCAGGGGCTCATCCCAGGGGAGCATCTCATTACCCTGAGGATGGTCCTAAGGCCTAAAGACGGCTCCATGAACCGTGCAGCCTATGATGTAAGCCAAGCACTGAATGTAAAATAAAAGCAGCAAGGGGAAGTTAGGTGGTGTGGTGGTTAAGGCATTTGACTCCCAAATGGCTGACTGCAGTTAGGGTCCCGGACCTGGCGTCTTGCTTTCTTACTTTCTCTACTCAAATTAAAATAAATAAATAAATAAATAAATAAACAAATCTATCTATCTTTAAAAACAAAACAAAATACCCCAACAATCTGTGCCAGTGCTACATGGCAGGCTGGCTGAATGAGCCTCGAGATACAGGACTGTGCAAGGTGGCAAGAGAAGTTTTCAAGGATAAAATGACTGTACAGTATTTTTGCTTTATATTTTGCTTTAGAATCACTGAACTCTTTTTCCTCCAAACATAGCTTTCCTGTCTCTCCACCCTGCTCACCCCTTCCTATGCCCTCAAGAGGCAGCTCCAGGGTCTCTTCTGGGAAGGCTTCACTGATGGCCCCAAGGAAGGCAGAAGACCCGATCACACCCTCCTCTATGTTCCAAATGCTCCTTGAATGTCCTCGTACCAAGGGAAGGGTGATGCAGTGTTAGGCTTACATGTCTGCCTCCTCTGTGAGGCCAGGGTTCTCATCTGTGGGACACATCACCGTGGGTGAAGATTTGCTGGGGACACCAGCTATGGACTGGCTAGGCAGTGAGGTATCTGCAACTCCTCAAGTCCTTCCTGGACTCTTAGGAGACACCAATGTGCCAGGCCTTCCTGGCCAGCCACAGACAATGTGCTGGGAAGGTCTACCCCAAAGTGAGAGGGCAGAAGACCCCTTACCTGGTGCAACCATAATTTCATTTTTCTTGGAGCGAATTCGAAGGAAGGTCAGGTCGTTCTGTGGGTCAATTTCACGCACAGTGCTCCGTGCCTTCAGGATGAAATTGTGCATGAGGTTGGCGTACTGTGTGGTGGTGGGGTTATCCATGGTGCTCTTGATGGGAATGCCTGAGGGGAGAGTAGACGAGACTGAGCAAGATGGTGAAGTCCTTTCTGGTGAACTACTGGCCCTGCATCCCTAATTCTACAGAACTCAGCGCACAGTTAACCACCAATGCCGCCACTTCCACAGGGCTTGCTATGTGACAGGAACACGCTGAGCTTGTGAAAAGTGTCAGTGTCAGGGCCTAGAACTATTCCATGGGTGGCATCTGTCTTCGTTTGCCAGTTAGGCAACTGGAGCCCTGAGTGGCAAGGTGACATCTCGATGGTCACACCACAGAGCAGCAGTGGGCCCAGGACTCAGGAGCAGGCCAGCTGGCTCCAATGGAGGCTCCCTGTCCAGGGTTGCACTGTCTTACCAGTTTCCACTGGGAACAGGAGAGATTATCACTCATATCTAGAAGCTGACCCAAGAGGACAGCTCTTATACATCTGTACACACTGAAAAGGAGGAAGAAGAAAGGTTGGCTTGTGCCAGGGCATCACCAGTGCCACTCCCACCAGGGGCAGGCTTAGGCCCAGATGTAAACACACTGTATATACACCTGACTGTGCCCCGCATTACACACATTTCTGTGTCTGCACACACGCTCGGTAAACACCACTGGTGCCGCCTTCAAAGAGCCCACTATGTGGGCCGTCACAGAGCTCGCCATTGCCCTATTGCTGGGCACTGAGGCTGGGTATTTTACTAGGATAATGGACATCACTGGGGATCAAGTCTTTTCTGTTTTTTTTTTTTTTTTTTTTTGAGAGGTTTTTGCTATAGGGAACGTGCGCTTGCCAGAAAGACAGAGAGACAGAAAGCGAGAAATCACCCCCTGGGAGGGATGGCCATGCCACAATCCCTTCTCCTCCACTCTCCTTCTGGGATCTTGGGCACGTATGCACATGCACCCGGCGTGAGTTTAAGCCACCGGGTCCGGGACTTGAACCGCGGTAGACTACATGGGAGTCCGGCAACATAGCTATTACACTAACTGCTGGTCCCCAAGTCTTTTCTGTTTTGGGGGCAGTTTCCTTAAGACAGACTATTAACTGGACTTGGGTCACTAGATGGTTCCTACTGTCACAGAGGTGAGAAATGTGGCTCAACTTGAACCAGTCCAGGCCACATGGGGTCATCAACTGCCGTGACAACAGGTTATCTCAAGTGCATGTCAACATAAGACTCAATCCATTAGACCTCGAGAGCTCACCAGTTTACATTCACTTGTCAAGATGTACAAGTGGTTCCTCAATACAAGTGACTAGATTCTGGGCCAGAACCCTGCTAATCTGGCCTGGAACTGATGGGCCAAGGGATCAGCCAAAGGCACCAAGAATACAAGAGTGGGCAGAAGAGGAGGTCATGGTGGCAAATGCAGCAGCTGAGTCAGAGAGGCTGTTCTGAGTCAAAAGTCAGGAGAACGAGTTGTGGTGCCACACAGCTGTTAAGTAAGTAGATCCAGGATTCAAACCCCTGTGGTCTGATTCTGCATGCCCTGTTCTTAGCCACTGTGCAATTCTGCCACAGTAGTATACCAGAAGTGCTCATCAGCATCTAAAAGATAAGCAGTTGGGGCTAGATCCCCCCAGGGAGAATGCTTGACTTTCAGGGCGTTATAAGCAGGGTGCAGGCTGACAGAAACTTCAGGCTCCAGCTGAGGCAGTCAGTACTTGTTCTGTTCCTTTTCCATTTGAGGTCAAAATGTCTAGTCCCAGAAGATAAGTCTCTAAGTGACAAACCATCTTTGAAGTCTCGGAGCAAGAATCACCCAAAAGAGAATGTCTGGCCCAACCACTCACATGAGGCTTCTGAGATTGGAAGAAGGGAAGAAACTTGTTCAGGCCACGTAGTAGGTCAGTGGCAAACCTGGGCTGGGGCCTGCTCCAGCTTCCTCCAGTGTTCTGAGGGTTCCCAGCTCCTTTAAAATGAGTCAGACAAAACTGGGAGCATGATTCTGTCTTGCTCTGGGCTGGTGAAGGCTCTATCGGCCTAGAAAATAACATTCTAACTGAGGGCATGCTACCTCTACTCTGTGCCCTTGGTGACTTTCATTCTGCATTGTTGAGAATGCTACCTTTCCAAAATAAGGCCTAGAATGACCATGCAGACACACACGGGCTCTCAAAGAGCTTAGAACCAATCAGGTGACTGAATGACTTGCCTGGAGAGCTGGGGAGCCCAGCAACAATGGGGTGACTCTGAGCACAGTGCAATCTTTTGGGATATCCATATGTGTGTCTGTCAAGGTGGCACCAAAACCATGTGTACCCCAAGAGCAGTCAGAGAACAAGGAATAAATGCTGCATCGCCTCTGTTCAGAGGACTAATCTTATCTTTTTAAGAGAGATTTTTGCTATAGGGCATGTGCACTTACCAGAGAGAGAGACAGAGACAGAAAGCAAGAAATCACCCCCCAGGAGAGATGGCCATGCCGCAATCTCTTCTCCTCTCGGGATTTTGGGCACACATGTACATGCACCTAGAACGAGTTCTAAGCCACTGGGTCCAAGACACGAACCGTGGTCAACTATGTGGGAGTCCATCAATGTAACTGTTATGCCATTTGCTGGTCCCCAGAGGCTACTTTTAATCCTGGCCTCGGAGAGCAAGCCCTCTGCTGGGTACTGAAGAGTCTGCACACTCCTCTCTGGGGCACATCACTTAACCACTTGGCCTTAATTTCCTTCTTAGTAAAACAGGTTACTGTGAAGATTAATGATCTTTCCTTCTTAGTAAAACTGGTTATTATGAAGATTAATTATCAGCAAGGGCCTAGCATCCAAAGAGAAGCATTCAAGGGATTTTGAAGGGTGGGTGACATACAGACGAGCAGGGGGAGGAAAGGGCATTCTAGGTAGGGAGAGGAGTGAAGCCAAGAAGATGGAATTGAAGGTCTCAGAGAAGAACACGAGACTATGGCTTGCTGTCACTCCCTAAGACCAGGGAACTAAGGCTGGGGAAGAAGACAGGCTCCCAGGAGGAGTATGACAATGTGACTTCCCTGCTCATCTGTGGCCTGTCCATCTCCTCATACTGGTTGTATCCACACATGCCATGGTTGTGTTTTGAGTTCCGGGGCATCCCTGGGGTACCTCCGCAGTGTGCCAGCCATTCCCTTGCCCCAGCATGGGGACAGGCAGTGGGGGGACAGCCCGGCCATGGCCAACAGAATAGGCTACAGAGCTGGGACTCCAGTTCAGCCGTCTCCTCCCTGTGCGATCTTGGGTTGTTACTTGACTTCCTTCTAAGTCTGTTTTCTCATGGGTAAAATGGAGACGTTACCAGTCCACCCTCATAGGACTGTTTCAGGGATAAAATGAATTAAGCTATGTACAGTATTTATAATGTGCCTAAAGAAGGGTGTTATACTTTTTAACCATGTCAGCTGTTATTATTACAGGCATTATTATGTTTGTTAATCTAGTGATTATAGCACCTAACATACTTGGAAAATTTTGTTCTTTTCCTCTGAAATTCTTTGAAGCGGTTAAGTGTTGTGCCCTAGAGAGGACTACCAAATCGAAGGGGCCGACGCCACCACTGACTGTGGTTTGTTCATTCAACATTTACAATCCTGGACCCAGTGCCCATGCTGGGCAGGCGCTGGAACAGAGGTAGTCACACATGCTCCTCGCCTCCACGGACCTTCATCACTGAGCTGCCGGTGTCAGCAGCAACGCCTCAGTGCACCTGTCCACGTCCAGCCTTATACTGGTTTATGTTTTTTCCTTCATGCACTCTAGTATGACAGTTGAAAACATTTTTTAAAGGTTTTTAAAATAATAATTTAATTTAATTTATATTTGACCAGAGAGGGACAGAGCAAGAAAGAGAGTGAGAGAGAGAGAAGAAAGCAAGAAAGCAAGCCGCCAGGTCTGGGACTTGAACCGTGGCTAGCCATGTGGGAATCCAGCACCCTTAACCACCACGCCATCTGCCAACCCCGATAGTTTAAAACTTTTAAAGGCCAAACCCTTTCCCTAATTAAAATGAATGCAGAAATTGGGGCCAGCAGGTGGTGTAGTGGTTAGGGTGCTGGACTCCCACATGGTCAACTGCAGTTCGAGTCCTGAACCCAGTGGCTTGAAACTCATGCCAGGCATGAAGGGGCCCAGCAAACAGCAAGTGTGTTGGGCAGTGTCTGGGCGATTTCTGGGGCCTGCCTGGGTGCAGAGCATACCTTCTGTGTTCACCACGATGATTCCCTGTACTCCTTTCTGGCTCTGAAGTCGCTTTAGTGTCTCCTCCACCTCTGCCTGCCAGAAAACAAGACCACAGTTAAGAGGGCCTGGGTAGGCTGGACTACCTTCCTCTATCCCAGATGATTCACACACTTGTCCTCCAACAACAAACAAGTAACACCCAAACACTTGGCACCTCCTCAAAGCTCCGTAGGCCTGTTTGGAGGGGTCCTTAGGACAGCCCAGCACCGAGAGCACCTGCTTGCACCTCTAGCATCGGGCAGGGCTGCTCCTGGTCCTTTGCCCACCAGGCAGTATTATCACGTCCCACTCAGCCATTTGGAAGGAGAATACACATATCATCCCCGGGAGTACATACACATCCAGGACTCTCATATTTGGCACAGGTGGGGGACAGGACTCTGATGATTTGGAAAAACCCAAACAGAGGTATCTACCAGGAAGCAAAATGACCCCATGTGGACAGACTCAGTGACTTCAGCTGGCCTCTATGACAGCATGATATGTGGCACAATCTCGGGAAGGATCTCATTAATCTTGATTATCCAGAAATTAAGTGGGGGAATCCTTTGGCACATGGACTTTGTCAACAAAGAGGACAGTGGATGCATGAATTCTCATCCTGCTATGCGAGGCCTTCAACATTACCCCTGCCCCTGCTTTCTCTATTTCCCTCCTCATGCCCACACCTCCATGGCTCCACATCTTTTTACCCTACAAGGCCTCTTCTCTGCTGAAATCCAACCAATTCTGCTGTATCATCTAAGACATCACCCCCTCTATGAGACCTTTACTGATGCCCACTTCAGCAGAGTCTTTGCCCACCTGAGCCCCCACTCCTAGCCCATGCCCTTCTGGGACCTGTATTAGGTACTGTCTTGTTACTCAGGAGTCTCTATGTGGTCTGCAGAGTAGGAGCTGGAGAAAGAGCTGCTCAACTGAACCAGGCCTAACTCCCTGTATGGAAACTGGCTTCGAGATGTGCTTGTTCTCAGGAGCCTTTTCCAAACTGGCCCAGAATCCAATCAGAGGCTCCTCAAAGGCTGGGAGTTGTCAGAAACACAGGCTCCATTTAGCTCAAGAGAATGGTTCCCCACCCCCAGCAGCAAATGAATTGCGGGGAGGGGAAGGATCCTGAACACTGGTGGAGACAGCACAATAAATTATTGTTTTTCTGGAACGCACAAGCTGACGATCCAGTCACCACCACCCACTCCCCAGTGATGTAAGACTACTCTCAAAAGCTGGAAGGAAAGGCAAACAAATTCCTCCTACAAAATGGCCAACTGTGGGACCAGCAGATGGCATAATAGTTACGTTGCTGGACTCCCAAGTAGTCAGTCGCAGTTCGAGTCCTGAACCTGGTAGCTTAAAGTTCCTGCAGGGCACATGTGCATTTGTGCCCAAAATCCTGAGAGGAGGATAGAGGAGAAGGGATTGCGGAGTGGCCATTCCCCCTGGGGGGTGATTTCTTGTTTTCTGTCTCTCTGGCGAGTGCATACACCCTACAGCAAAAATTTCTCTTAAAAACAAATATAAAAACAAACCAAAATGGCAAACCAACTGTTGCCTCCAAAATCAAGAGCCTGGGTAAAAGGACAGAGCTAGCTCTGTGGATGAGAGTCGACAGCACAGTGGGTCACGTATGTAGAGATCGTAAGCCACCCAACAGACTCACTGAGCAGTAGTCCCACTCCGCACCAGGTGCTACTCTGGAGGTGATGGTAAAGAAGTGCAGAGTACTCAGTCAGACCTGGTAACCCCTCTGGAAAACCACCCTGAAGAAAGAATCCAATGAATAGAAAAGGAGAACACAGCAGGACGTCTGCTGAAGTGACATCTGCAATAGCAGAAAGCAGAAAGAACTAAAAATGCCAGCAATTAGGGAAACGGCAAAGTAAAGTATGGAATATCCACTCACAGGAATGTAATGCACACGTTAATAATAGTGATTAGGAGCCAGCAGGTGGACAAGGCTGACTATGGCTTGAGTCCCAGACCTGGAACTCATGCTGGGCATGAGTGTGTACATGCATACCCCCCCAAATAATAGTGATTAGGCAATGTCATACCACCATAAAAGGCCTGTGATATAATGTTCAGTGAGAACAGCGAGATGCAAACATCAAGTGCTTGGAGACTGCAACCATCTGAAATCAAGGGGGCTGGAGGGGACTATATAAGAATAAAAAGTCACATTAGGAACAGGGAATTATTGACAAGGTTTTCTTTCTTTCTCTTTTTTCCCTCCAAAACAGCCCTTTTTATTTTAGTGTACCATTTATATTTAAAGGTATTTTTAAACCCCCCTCTCAATGGATCTAAGAAAGGACGCTGACATGTTCAGCATCTAATGAGACGATGTAAGAATAACTTGGTTGGGGCCAGCAGGTGGCGTGGTGGTTAAGGGTGCTGGACTCCCAAGTGGCTGACGGCAGTTCAAGTCTTGGACCTGGCAGCTTTCTTTCTCTTTCTCTCTCTCTCTGTCCCCTTATGTTCGAATTAGAATAAATAAATAAATTTTTTTTGGAGAATTTTTTAAACTTAAAAAACTTGAGCTTAAACTCACGCTGGGCATGTGTGCATGTGTGCCCAAGATCCTGAGAGAAGAATGGAGGAGAAGGGATTGCAGTGTGGTCATCCCCTCTGGGGGGTGATTTCTCGCTTTGTGTCTCTCTGTCTCTCTAGTGAGCGCGCACGCTCTATAGCAAAAACCTCTCAAAGAAGAAAGAAAGAAAGAAAGAAACACATTACGATCATCTACAGTAGGGAAGGGTGTCTGGAATGCAGGGCTCACGGAGTCATGGAACTTTAAGATAAGGTGCCAGAGAAGGTCATTAAAGTGACAGGTAAGCAGCAATTGAAGGAAAGGAGGGAGCTAGCCATGCAGACCTCTGGGGAGAGGGATGGCATGAAAGCATGGCGTGGACAGTGTCTGGCAGGTTACCTGAAAGCACAGGAGCTGCAGAGGGTGAAGTGCAGTGAGCAGGGGAAGACTGGAGGCCAGTGTGAAGATCAGACCACACAGACCTGGGAGACCCCCAGGAATGACTCTAGGTTTTACTGGAGATGATGCAAGAGCCATGAGCAAGTTTTAAGGTAAAGGGTGACAAGATCTGATGTTTCAGGATGGCCCTGGCTGCTGTGTGCAGGATAGGGGATAAGGAGCAATCACAGCTTGCTGGCCTTTGGAAGTACAGAGTACCTCTCCTCTGAGCCAGAAGGATGCAAGCATCTCCCTTCCACACTACTTGATGTGACTAACTCTCAACCCTCTAGACTCAGCTCACAAGCCTCCTGCAGAAGGCTTCTGTGCCATCAGCCCCTTTTCTGGGCTCCATGGCACACAGCCCTCATGGCACTTACCACAACAGAGTATAACTGTCATTTTCACATCCATTGCTTCATCCGGACCCAAAGCACCCTGGGAGCAGACTAGACTTTAGTCCCATACCTGGTACGAGATGGGCTCAATAAATACTGGAGGAACAAATGAAAAGCACTTCTGCAGCTGTTTTACATCATCAATCTCTCTTTTATTTTTTAAGAATTATTTATTTAATTTTATTTGCTATTATTATTGTTGTTGTTACTGTTTTTTAATTTGGCCAGAGAGAGAAAGGGAAAGTGAGAAAGCAAGTCTCCAGGTTCGAGACTCGAAGCACAGTTGACCGTCTGGAAGTCTAACACCCCAACTATCATGCTTCCTGCTGGTCCCCAACATCAATCTTTTTTATGAACAGGAGAGGGGACATGACCTTAGAGTAACTAGTGTGACAGAACTGGGGTTTAGGTGATCCTGAATTTAACAAGAACCAGTCCCTGAGATTTGGCCGACTAAAAAGTAAACAGACATCAGCAACAGGACACACAGATAGGCATTTATGCACCGCAGTAACTACTATGAGTCTATTTTGCGTTCAGGCACATACTTGCTCATCTGATGGTCTTGTTCACCTTCCCATTAGTATGAAGTCATTTTACAGAGACGGAAGGAAACTGAAGCTTAGAAAGGAGAAGGGTTTTGCTCAAGGACACACAGCAGGTCATGAGAGGAGCTGAACATACTAGTGGCACCAATTGATTAGGTCCCTGTCCCAGGAAGTTCATATTCTGGTGGAAGAAACCTTAAAAAAAAAAAGTGAATGAGACTCTTGCGGGGTACAGGGACTGGCTGGGATTGGAGAGTGGGACAGAGGACAGTCTGAGGACATGATCAGGAACTTCTGAGGATGTAACTTTTTTTTTAAGGAATTATTTTATTTATTGTTGTTGTTATTATTTTTATTATTGTTGTTGTTTTTTAATGATCAGAGAGGGACAGAGAGGGAGAAAAAGTAAGAAAGCAAGCTGCCAGGTCCAAGACTCTAACCTGTCAGTCATGTGGGAGTCCAGTGCTTTAACACTGTAACACCTGCCAGCCCTGAGGATACAACTTTTTAAAGCCAAGAACTAAATGATGAGAAGAAATGCACTTTAGGTAACGAGGTAAAAGCACAGGCAGTGAAGTAGGAATGAGCATGGCAGGTTCGAAAAATACATGCACAACCAGCATCTCCAGAGTTTTTGATGTTTTGCTAATCTGACATAAAACAAATAACAGGAAGTCAACACAAGAGTTTCAGTGGGCTAGTAGGTGGCATGGTGATTAAGATGTTGGGCTCCCACATGGCTGACTGTGGTTCAAGTCCTGAACCTGGCAACTTGCTTTCTCATTTTCTCTCTCTCTCTCTCTCGTAAGTGCATGTGTCCTATAGCAAATTAAAACAAAATAATAATAATTTAATAATTCTTTAAAAAAAAGACTTTTAGCATGATGGTTAAGGTTGTTGGACTCCCGTATGGCTGACCGTGGTTTGAGCCCCAGACCTGGCTGCTTGCTTTTTCACTTTCCCTCTCAGTCTCTCTCACTCTGTCCCTCTCTGGTCAGATTAAAACAAACAAACAAATAAATAAATAAAGTTAGATAAAATAATTCCTAATTTTTTTTTTGCCACTCCCATGGGGCATAGTTATGCCCCAATTCTTTCTCCTCCATTTTTGCGTCCTTTTGAGATTCTGGTCATACAAGCACACATGCCTGGCATGTTTTCTAAGTCCAGAATTTGAACCACATGGCTGGCCATATGAGATCTGGTTCCCTTAAGCACCTGATCATGGACTGGTACAGGAGTTTAAATTTTTCTGTAGTCAAACTTAATACAATTTTTTCTTATAAGACAACAGAATAGCTTCTTCAACCTGACCCCGGCCAGTAGAGTGGGCTGGACCTACATGAGTGGGGCTATGATGTCTTGAGGGGGTCTCTAGGAGGGTCAAAGCACCCACGACCAATCTGGATCCAGAAGAAACTGCTTAACACAATCCCTACAGGAGCCAAAAGAGGGGCCAGCAGGTGGCGTAGTGGTTAATGTACTGGACTCCCACAAGGCCAACTGTAGCTGAGTCCCAGACCGGTAGCTTAAAACTCATGCGGGGTGCGTGTTGTGTGCATGCCCAAAACCCCAAGAGAAGAATGGAGGAGAAGAGACTGCAGGATGGCCATCATTTCTAGGGTGTGATTTCTCACTTCCTCTCTCTGTTTCTCCAGTGAGCACATGAGCCCTATAGTGTCAAGCTCTAGAAAAGAAGCACCCGGAACAAATACAGATGGGAAAGGACAGCCCTAGTCAGACATTCCAGTCAGGCTAGATCTGCTTCTGGGCAGGTCATTCCAACTGGTAACAGAAGTATCTGGGTCTGGCTATCCAGCTGCCCAGGGCCAACTCACATCTCCAACTCTCCATCCTGTTCCTAGAAGGGCCCAAAGGGTGCCTTCAGCATCAGGGGTCCCTAGTACTGTCAACACTGGCATCTATATCAGGGAAGGAGATGAGACTCCTGTGATCGCTAGTTCCCAAGGGCATGCTGGTGGAAGATAGAAAAACAACCACAAAGCTCCAGCATTATTTATTAGCTCAGCATCGGAGAAAGAATCATATCAAGCAAATGACTCAGGAAGGAACTGCAACCAATTTGGCTACTAAGCATAAAACCTCTGTAAAACAACGAATCAAACCAGACAAACTACGTGCATTGGCCTTTTTCGCTATAGGGCGTGTGCGCTCGCAAGCACACGCGCCCGGCATGAGTTTTAAGCCACCGGGTCCGGGATGTGAACCATGGTTGACTACGTGGGAGTCCAGCGACATAGCCATTACGCTAACTGCTGGTTCCCTTGCATTGGCCTTTTGAACCACTCTTTCTCTGTCCACTCAGGCCGGCTCCTACCTCTCAGGAGTCCTACACCTCTTAGGAATGTACTTTCACTTTTACTTAATAAACTATCTTTTCCTTTCAAAAAAAAAAAAACAAAAGAAAACTATTTGCATCAAATGTAGCAGACAAATGAATAAGTTCAAAAACATCACATCAAATGCAAGTAGGCAAAAAGAGCGCTAGCAGAAAATACACCTAGGCCAAGTCATAAACATGGAAAAATAATCATCCTTGTAAACAAAGAAATGAAAAATTATGGCAGTGCTGAGGTTTCTTTTTAAATTCTGGCATACTAATACAAGGACAATACAACATTTTGGGGAAAGTTACAGGACAATATATTCCAAGAACTAAAAAAGTATCAGTCCCTGGGGCCAGCAGGTGGCATGGTGGTTAAGGGCGCTGGACTGCCACATGGCTGACTGTGGTTTGAGTCCTTTACCAGGCGGCTTACTTTCTCTCTCTCTCTCTCACTCTATCCCTCTCTGGTCAAATTAAAAATAAATAAATACATAAATCAAGTTTTTTTAATAAAAGTATCAGTCCCTTTGCCTTAGAAACCTTTTCCTGGGACCAGCAGTTAGCATAATGGCTATGTCGCTGGACTCCCATGTAGTAGACCGCGGTTCGCGTCCTGAACCCGGTGTCTTAAAACTCACTGGGCGTGTGTGCGTGCGTGCCCAAGATCCCGAGAGGATAATGGAGAAGAAGGGATTGCGGCGTGGCCATCCCCCTTGGGGGGGTGATTTCTCGCTTTCTGTCTCCCTGTCTCTCTCTGTCTGTCTGGTGAGCGCATGCACCCTATAGCAAAAAAAACCTCTCCAAAAAAATAAATAAATAAATAAAGAGAGAAATAGTCTCTCAAAAAAAAAAAGAAAAAAAGAAACCTTTTTCTGAGAATTTCTCCTAAGGAAATAATCTAATAAATAAAACAAAACAAACTACACACACAGTGGCATCATGACAGCATTCTCTCTGCTAATTAAGATCTGGAAGCAACCCAAATGTACACTGGGGGAATGATTTGGCAAATTATGGTACAACTACTTCATCAACCATTATGTAGTCACTAAAAGTAGTTCATCACAAAGATGATGTAGCAATAAAAACAAAAAAGAAAAACTAACATGTGTACCTTGAAAAACATGCCGATGTGAACAATGAGGGAGAACACAAAGATGAAAAGAGCTGTGACAGAGTAAAAGTGGATGATGAGAATTACGGAAAATTTTATACCATTGTTCTAAAGGACAGTTTCCACCAAAATGCAAAACATGCATGCCAGAAACATTGCTTCTAGGGATCCATCCTACATAAACATTGGCCTGGGGACAGGAAAAAAAGACAACAGCAATTACTACAGAATTGTCTGGGTGAAAAACAGTAAATCATCTAAATGCACATGTGGGAATAGAAACTAATACAGCTCTTTGACCAGCAGATGGTCTAGAGGTTAAGGCCTAGACTCCACATGGTCCTCGGAGGTACCAGTCCTGGACACAGCGGCTTGAAATTCATACAGGGTGTGTGCATGCTCCTGAAAGGAGAATGGAGGAGAAAGGATGATGGCTGACCAGACCCCCTGGGGGATGATTTCTCACCCTGTTCTGTAGGATCACAACATAGTGAGACTGTTGAGAAAGAGAGCAAGATTTTTGCTTTTTTTTTTTTTTTTGAGAGGTTTTTGCTATAGGGCGCGTGTGTGCACCAGACAGACAGAGACAGACAGAGGGATAGAAAGCGAGAAATCACCCCCCAGGGGGGATGGCCACGCCCCAATCCATTCTCCTCTCGGGATCTTGGGCACGCACGCACATGCGCCCAGCGTGAGTTTAAGCCACCGGGTCCAGGATGCGAACCGTGGTCAACTACGTGGGAGTCCAGCGACATAGCCATTACGCTAACTGCTGGTCCCAGAAAGGCAGAGCAAGTTTGATATTTGTGTATACTGACATGAAAACTTTTTGGTATTTTTCAGTGAACAGAGTAAACTGCAGAGTGAGATATGCATACACATAGCTTAAAGTAAACTTATATGGAAGACTATATGTGGCCCAATTTCCTCTAATAGCTTATAAATAAATGTGCTTAAGCACCTAACTAATCTGGAAGGGAACTCACCCACTTGCCAACAGCAGTAATATGCCTGTAAATGGGTTCCTCTACGTGATGGCACTGCTGCTTTTTTTTCCTTTTCAATGTTTCTTATAAACTTTAAACTTCTAAATACGATTTTTGAAACGGTCAACATTAATACATTCAATAGTATTTAAAAGATATTTATATTTAAAAGATATTTTCAAATCTTGTACAAACTGTGTGGGCTGAAAACACAAAAAACCTACTAAGTCTTGAAAAATGTAGAGAGGCCACAGGGGCAGCCAGCAAAGCAGAAGGCGCTGGGATCCCAAGGCGCTGGGCCCCGCCCTTTCCTGACTCACGCACGGTCCAAGGAGCTCCCAAGAGCAGGAGCGCCGGACAGGCCTCGCTCAGGCTTCTACGGTTCAATCCATCTCCACCGTTACCGGGGCCAGGCTTGGCTGCACTGGGCTCCCCACTGCAAGTATGTACCAGGGGCTATGGACGCGCCTACTTCACAGAGCTGTGGGGAGCGGACAGACGTGACCCGTAGGGTGCTTAGCAGCGGCCGCCTGAGACCGCGCATCCAGGAAACGTTCCTACGGAGCCTGGATGGCGCGACGAGGGCCAGCAGGCGAGGCTGCAAGGGCCGGCCGCCCTCCGCATCTTCCTAGCCCGGGCTGGGGCTCCAGCATCCGGTCAAGGGAGCACCGGATCCGGTAGGCCCGCGCCGCCCGGGTTCCGCCCTCGGGTCAGCTCCAGCCCGGCCCCGCCCAGCCCCGTGGACTCCCCGCCCGACGCTCTGAGACTCTCCCGCAGATGGGGATGGCAGGCCC